TATATAACTAAAAATAATAAAATGAATTTTAAATGATGGCTTAGGGTGAGAGACCAATCCACGATGAGAGGTTAAAGAGACAGGAATGCTTATTTTTGGAAAAGCAAGTTTATAAAATACACGGTACCTATTTTCAGAATCCATAAAAGTATTCTGAGCCCAAACCAGAAAAACTGAAAATAAAGGAATATAATCCAATGCATATTAAACCTTAAATCTATATCTGAAATATGGTTTGTAAATAATATCTCAATAAAACCATTATAAAAAAACAAACCCTTCTTTCCTTTACCTCAGAGTTTCCCAAACTTGGCAATAAGAATTATTCGGCAATTGGTTAAAAAATGATATTCCCAGACCTTTTCTTTGGAGGCCAGGAAACTATATTTTTTAAATAAACACCCTTCAAGAACTTTTATTATCAGACAAGTTTAGTAAACAGCAGCTACCCATAATTCTTTCTTAGCTATAAAGCCAAGAAAAACAATTTAATTGTCTATTTAGTCATGGTCTGAATGTTCCTAGTACACCAGTGGAATAATCACACCCAGAAAAATTCAAGCTAATTCATTGGGATATGAAAGAAAATACTTTAGGCAAAATGGACAAATTCCTAGAATCATATAGTCTTTCAACCAGGAAGAATCAGAAAACTTGAACAGATTGTTATTGAACCAATAACAATAAAAAAATTGAAGCAGTAATCAATAAACTTCCAACATACAAGAGCCCGGGTCTGGACAGCTTCACAGGGGAGTTTTACTGAACAGTCAAAGAAGAACTAACACCTGTTCTCCTCATACTATTCCAAAAAATCAAGAGGAAGAAAGACTTCCAAACTCTTTTTATGAGGTCAGCATAATCCTAATTCTAAAACAAGATAAAGACACTACAAAGAAAGAAAATTACAGGCCAATATCCATGATGAACATAGACACCAAAATCCTCAGTGAAATATTAGCAAATCAGATCCAGCAATATATTAAAAAAATTATTCACCACAACCAAGTGGGATTTATCCCAGGGATACAAGGCTAGTCCAATATTCGCAAATCAATAAATGTGATACACCACATAAACAAAATAAAAGATAAAAATCATATGAGCGTATCAATAGATTCTGAAAAGGCATTTAATAAAATACAGCACCCATTTCTGATAAAAATACTCAGCAAAGAGGGATCATATCTCAACATAATAAAGGCCATTTATGAAAAACCTACACCCAACATCATACTCAATGGGCAAAAACTAAAAGCATTTCTGTTAAGAACAGGAAGAAAACAGGAATGTCCACTTTTGCCACTCTTATTCAACACAGTACTGGATGTTTTAGCCAGTGATCAGACAAGAAGAAAAAATAAAAGGCATCCAAATTGGAAAGGAGGAAGGGAAACTGGCAATATTCACAGATGACAGGATATCGTACATAGAAAACCCTAAAAACTCCATAAGAAAACTACTAGATTTAATAAATGAATTCGGCAAAGTAGCAGGACACAAAATTAACATCCAGAAATCAATAGCATTCTTATACACCAATAATGAACACTCAGAAAGGGAAACTTTAAACAATCCCATTTACCACTGCAACAAAAAACATTAAGATACCTAGGAATAAACTTAACCAAGGAGGTAAAAGATCTGTTCTCAGAAAACTACAGAACATTGAGAAAAAGAAATAGAGGAAGATACAAAAAAAATGGAAGCATATACCATGTTCATGGATTAGAAGAATCAATATCATTAAAATGTCAATATTACCCAGAGCAATCTATAGATTCAATGCAATCCCTATTAAAGTACCAAGACATATTTTACAGATCTAGAACAAAAACTCCAAAAATTTATATGGAACCAAAAGAGACCCTGAATAGCCACAGCAATCTTGAAAAACAACAAAGCTGGAGGGATCACAGTACCAGATATCAAGTTATACTACAAAGCCATCGTAATCAAACAGCCTGGTACTGGCACAAGAACAGACATATTGATCAATGGAACAGAATAGAAACCCAGAAATCGACTCAAGATATATGTGCAATAAATATTCAACAAAGGAGGCAAGAGCATATAATGGAGAAAGGACAGTCTCTTCAATAAATGGTGCTGGGAAAATTGGACAGCTATATGCAAAAAAATGAAACTAGACCACCAACTTACACCATACACAAGAATAAACTCAAAATGGACAAAAGACTTAAATATAAGGCATGAAACCATAAAAGTCCTAGAAGAAAATGTAGGCAGCAAAACATCACACACAGCAGATTTTTCACTGATACATCGCCAAGGGCAAGAGAAACAAAGGAAAAATTTAATAAATGGGACTACATCAAGCTAAAAAGCTTCTGAATAGCAAAATAAATCAGCATCAGAATGAAAAGGGAACTCATTCTTTGGGAGAACATATTTGCCAATGATACAGCGAATAAGGGATTAATATCCAAAATATACAAACTATTCATATATCTCAACAAAAGGAAGACAAACAATCCAATTAAAAATGGGCAAAGGACCTGAATAGATACTTCTCAAAAGGACATACAAATGACCAAGAGACATGAAAAAATGCTCAACGGCACTAATCATCAGAGAGATACAAATTAAAATGACTATGAGGTATCACCTCACACCTACCAGAATGGCAGCCATCAACAAATCATCAAACAAGTGCTGATGAGGATGTGGAGGAAAGGGGACTCCAGAACAATGCTGGTGGGGAATGCAGACTGGTGCAGCCACTATGGAAAACAATATGATGTTTCCTCAAAAAATTAAAAATGGAACTTCCATTTGACCCAGTGATTCCACTTCTGGGAATATACCCTAAGAAGCCTGAAACACCAATCAGAAAGAATATATGTACCCCCGTGTTCATAGCAGCGCTATTCACAATAGCTAAGATCTGGAAACAGCCCAAGTGCCCATCAGTAGATGAGTGGATAAAAAAGCTGTGTTACATTTACACAATGGAATTCTATGTAACAGTAAGAAAGAAAGATCTCTTACCCTTTAAGAAGACATGAAGGGACCTGGAACGTATTATGCGAAGTAAAATAAGCCAGTCAGAAAAAGACAAGTACCACATGATCTCATTTATTTACGTAATATAATGAACAAAATAAGCTGATGATCAAAACAGATCCAGAGACATGGAAGTAGGGAACAGACTGACAAAGGTCAGAGGGAAGGAGGTAGGGGAGGACAGGTGGGAAGAGATAAATCAAAGAACTTACATGCATATATGCATAATCAATGGACACATACAATAGTGTGGGGAAGGCCCTGGCCAGTTTGGCTCAACGGTTGAGTGTTGGCCTGCGGACCAGAGTCCCGGGTTTGGTTCCCTCTAGGGGCACGTACCACCAAAAATAAAAAAATAAATAAATAAATAGTGTGGGGAAGGCAGGAAGGGAATGGAAGAAGGGGAGAAGGGGTCAGTGGGGGAAGAAAGGGGGTACATCTGTAATACTTTCAACAAAAAATAAAATAAAATACTGATCGATACATATTCACTTTAAATCTTGTAAGTTTAAATTCTTCTAAAATTTTAGCATGTGTTTTATAATGTACACAGTACATCAACAGCATAGTGCATGAATATCTTTTTTCCCAATAAGGATATATGATTTTAAAAAAAGAGTGGACACCACTGCTTTTAGGTTTCTGATTTATTATTTTTCTCTCTCTAAAGCTGACAAATCCTCAGCCTCAGTTTTATTTTGCAACAAGACCCCTTCATCCTTATTCTTTATCATTATGCCCATATTCATTCCCCAGGTATAAGAGCATCATCCATCTGAATAAAGGACACAGGTCTTTTTCTCAACTGAGATCTATCTAGTAAAAAATCTGGAAGGCATATACCTCTTTATACTATTCTTAAAGTCCAGTAGACTCTTGGTATTTAATGATTCAGCTCAACCTGACGGCAGTGGATCAATGGATTGAGCATAGTCCCATGGACGGAGAGAGAGGTCCTGGTTTGAATCCCGGTCAGGGTAGCCAATCAACATTTCTCTCTCACATCAATGTTTCTCTCTCTCTCTCTCTCTCCCTCACTGTCTCTCTAAAAAAAATCCATAAAAACATATTTTAAAGATTCAGCTCACCAAATTAACAGCTGTGGTTTCAATCCTTCACAGGTATCTATAAAGTTTCAGGACAAATAGTAATCTGATTTTGCTGAATCACAAATTTGAATCAGTATGATTCCAAGTAGGTGTGAAGAGCCAAGTTATTTAGCAGGTGAGTAAACCAAACTGAACACCCAGCATTTGCTCTCACACCTATACTGTTCTCCACTTGTTATTAGTGTCAGGAGAGCCCTCTTTAGATTTTTAGTTATCTTTTACTACAGGAGTCCTCACCAATTATCTACAAAGTTTACTATAACGAGTCCTTAAGCCCGGCCGGTGTGGCTCAGTGGTTGAGCGTTGACCCATATACCAAGAGGTTGCTGGTTCGATTTCTGGTCAGGGCACATGCCCAGGTTGTGGGCAAATCCCCGGTGGGGGGCATACAGGACGTGGCCAACTGATGTTCTCTCTCACTGATGTTTCTATTTCTCTCTCCCTCTCCCTTCCTCTCTCTCTCAAATCAATAAAGAAAAAAAAATTTTTTTAAGAGTCCTTAAATCCTAATACATATATATTGACATAGTTTTTCAATTAAAGAACACTAAAAATACCTATCATGTAGGATTTGGGAAGTTTTTGAGTGGGCATTAAAAAAGGTCAGTCATACTTTGAAAGACTGAAATTCATGCATTATTGCAAATACTAAATCTTAAGTGGTACTCATGAATTGGGACATTCAAATCACAAACTGTTTAGGATGTGTTCAATGTCAAAGATGCCAAAAGATATACTTTAAGAACTTGTCTCAGGATAGACTTCTACAGCAAACATCAATTGAGTTCAGAAAAAATATCCTTAAGCTCCTTTCAACATTCCATGTCAATAACATATCTCAAAGAAGACCTTCCTCTCTCTCACCCTCAAGAACATCTTCATAAAGTGCATGTACTCCTTCAGGCACGATGACCGCCAGTGCAGTTCCACAGAGAAGTCCGGCACCCAAAACAGTCACCAGCTTTAGTCTCTCCTGGAAAGAAAATATAAGAAATCGTTGAAAAGATTGATGAATGAATGGAAAATAGTTTCTGAAGTATCTAATCAAAACTGTGAGCGGCTCATTTGATGAAGCAAAACTTGTCTACTATTCATGATAGGGAGAAATGAGTATAATTATCTAATACTAAAGAAATGTGAATTTCTGCAACCTATCTGGACCACAGTTTGGCAATTTAGATTTAGTCTCAAAATGTGAATTCTGCCCTGGCCAGCTGGCCTCAGCGGTAGAGTATCGGCCCATGGACCAAGGAGTCTCGGGTTCGACTTCCGCCAAAGGCATGAACCTCAGTTGTGGTTCATCCCCGGGCCTGGTCTGGGTCGTGCAGGAGGCAACCAGTCGATGTGTCTCTCTCACGTCAATGTTTCTTTCTCTCTCCCTCTCTCTCCTTCCCACTCTGTCTGAAGATAAATAGAAAAATATCCTCAGGTGAGGATTAAAAAAAAAAATTGAATTCTTTGATCCAGCAATTTCACTTCTAGAAATTCACCCTAAGAAAGAAAGAACTATGCAAAGATGACCACTGCATTTATTAAGAGTGCAAACCCTAAAATAACCTCAATGTCCAAGAAAGGAGAGCAGCTAAATAAACTATGATATTTCACAGTACCACAACATTCAGCCATTAAAAATTATGATATAGGTCTATTTATGGCTATAAAAGTCATAATGTGCCCGGCCAATGTGGCTCATTGATTGAGTGTCAACCCATGTACCAAGAGGTTGTTGGTTCAATTCCCTATCAGGGCACATGCCCAGGCTGTGGGCCCAATCCCCGGTGGTGGGGCATGCAGGAGGCAGCCAATTGATGTTCTCTCTCATCGATGTTTCTATCCTCCCTCTCCCTTCCTCTCTCTCTAAAATCAATAAAGAAAAAAAAAGTCATAATGTAGTGCTATGAGGAAAAAGCTGGTGTAGACAACATGATTTTTGTTTTTCGATAATCTCTTCGTCTTAACAAAAAGTACACATATAAGTACATGTGTAAATTAAATGTTAACATTTCCTACTTTATAATTTGTAAACATGTAATGTATAATTTATAAAACATTTATAATTTATCTAAAATGAACATATATTACTCATACAACAAAGAACTGTATTTAGTTCAGTATTAAAATGTTCCATGGATGCCTGACCAGTGTGGCTCAGTGAATTGAGAGGTCCCAGTTCGATTCCTGGTCAGGGCACAAGCCCAGGTTGCAGGCTTCATCCCCAGTAGGGGGCGTGCAGGAGGCAGCCGATCGATGTCTCTATCTCTCTCCCTTCTTCTCTCTCTAAAAAAATCAATAAAAACATACATTTTAAAAAAATGTTCCATGGTTTGTTTTTTGTTTTGTTTTTAATCCTCACCCAAGGATATTTTTCCATTTATCTTCAGATAGAGTGGGAGGGAAAGAAAGGAAGAGAGAGAGAGAAACATCAATGTGAAAAGGACACAATGACTGGTTGCCTCCCTCACGACCCCGACCAGGGCCTGGGATGAACCGCAACCAAGGTACATGCCCTTGGCCAGAATCAAACCCGTAACTCATTGGTCTGTGGGCTGATGCTCTTTGGCTGAACCAAACTGGCCAGAGCCCATGGTTTTCTTAAAAAAATGATTTATTGAAGTATGATTGACAAACAAAAAGCTGTAGATATTTAATGAATACAACTTGATGTGTTTGGAAATAAGTATACATCTGAAAAATCATCATCATAATCAATGCCATAAATGATCTATGGTTTTAATCCAACTTAATCCCAATTTTTTCTTTTTACCCACATTTCTTTGAGAGCTGCCTCCTGACATACAAAAGGATTACATTTCAAAATTTCTTGAAGCAGTGGTGTTCCCTACATGGCTTCCTGGAATCTTAGCAATGTAAAAAATTATATTAAAAACTATACAAGGTATGCCCTGACCAATTTGGTTCAGTGGTTAGAGCATCGGCCCGCATACTTAAGGGTTGCAGGTTTGACTCCTGGTCAAAGGCACATACTTGGGTTGCAGGTTTGATCCCTTGATGGTGGCAACCAATCAACATGTCTCACTCTCTTTAAAAAAAAAAATCAATGGAAAAAATGTCCTCGGATGAGGATTAACCAAAAAAAGAAATTACATGAGGTAATTCTGTATGTTGCTTATAAAAACGTTCCAATAATTTAATAGTACATCATGTACTTCTTCACTTTTCTATTTTGGTTTCCTTTATTGAGGTTAGCAGAAATAATAGTGGCTGTATTACCTCTGATGTACTACTGAACTTGAGTCTGTGAGGCTGGGAAAATATATATGTAGTCTCTGGGAAAATGAGTTCTTAGCTGAAAGGCTGGTTGAAATACACCCCTTCTTTATTTGGGAAGAAGGAAGGGATCTATAGCTCACTGTGTCTCTATTGAAAACAAGGGAACTATTATAGTTGTTTGTCAGCACCAACTAATACTTGCCATATAGCAAGAGGGGAATTCCCACAATTCGAGCACACAGGCCAGGTCAGCCCTTCACACATTTAGTATGGCCATTATTACCTACTTATAAACTGAGAGTACTCTCAATGCATCCAGTGGCTGGGACACTGGCTTGGGAGATACAACCACTCTGTGTCCAACTTGGTTAACAACTCAGTACCTCAACTGTTCTCCTGTAAAATAAGAATATTTCTGCCTGGCCAGTATGGCTCAGTGGATTGAGCATCATCCCATGGACTAAGAGGTCTTGGTTCGATTCTGGGTTAGGGCACATGCCCAGGTAGCGAGCTTGATCCCCAGTACGAGGGTTGCAGGAGGCAGCTGATCGATGTTTCTCTCTCACATTGATATTTCTATCTCTCTCTCCTTCTTTTTCTCTCTAAAAAATTAATAAAACATATATATATTTTTTTATCTTCACCTGAGCACATTTTTCCATTTCTTGTTCAGACAGAGTGGGAGGGAGAGAGAGAGGAAGAGAGAGATAGAGTGAAACATCAACGTGAAAGGGACACATCAAGTGGCTGCCACCCGCACGACCAACCAGGGCCGGGGACAAACCGCAACCGAGGCACGCGCCCCTAGTGGGAACCGAACCCAGGTCTCTCTGGACTGCAGGCCGACATTCTAACCGCTGAGCCAAACCGGCCAGGGCTAAAAACATATTTTTAAAAAATTGTTTAAAAAAGATTATTTCTGTGTGTCCTGTGAAGATATAGTAGAAAACAGAAGAAAATGATTAAAGCATTTCTCAAAGGTAGAGGCATAATTAGATTTGACATTGTACTCTGCTGCCCTGCACATTCCAAGCCAATGTCCATCACATGGCACAACACGTACAATGGATCATATAAAATTTACCTCTGGCTCGGCCAGTGTGGCTCACGCTGAGCATCGACCCATGCACGCCGGTTCAAGTCTCGGTCAAGGCACATACCAAGGTTGTGGGCCCAATCCCCAGTGGGGGCATGCAGGAGGCGGCCAATTGATGTTCTCTCTCATCGATGTTTCTATCTCTCTCCCTCTTCCTCTCTCTAAAAAATCAATAAAGAAAAAAAAATTTACCTCTGGAAGAAAGATAACATTCAATCACACAACCTCTTTAAATAGTGTGAGTCAGCAGAATCCCTTAGCAACACCAAGAAAAAAAACAAAATTATAACTAGTTATAATTGTTCTCTATTGATAGTTTCTAAAGGTCCATGGCAAAATAAGAGAAATAAGGACAATGTAACTAATGTGTTCTTCATAACGTTTTGATTTGTTTATTCTTTATTGATTTCTAGAAAGAGAGGAAGGGAGAGGGAGAGAGAGATAAAAACATTGATGAGAGAGAATATAGATTGGCTGCCTCCTGCATGCCCCCACTGGGGATTGGGCCCACAACCTGGGCATGTGCCCTGATAGGGAATTGAACTGGCAACCTCCTGGTTCATGGGTCACTGCTCAATCACTGAGCCACACCAGCTGGGCACATTTTGGTTTTTCACTGTAGAGGATTACTCTTTATTCTAAAATTATATCCTATATACTTTTTCATATTAAAATGTTTTCTTTTTAAAAATGATGATGATGATGCCTGGCCAGTGTGGTCATGGACTGAGAGGTCCTGGTTCGATTCCTGGTCAGGGCACATGCCCAGATTGCAGGCTCAATCCCCATTGAGGGGAGTGCAGGAGGCAGCAGATTGATGTATCTCTCTTACCTTGATGTTTCTATCTCTCTCTAAAAAAAAAAAAAAAAATTAAAAAATATATGTATTTAAAAAAATTAAAATGATGAGAATAGTTTCTATTTTTAGCATTCTTATCTGGCAAAATTAAAAACCCTGTATCAATTCTTCCTAATTTCTAAGTTATTACTGGCCTGTGAAACACCCAAAAGCCTCTAAAACCCTGATCCACAGTGTAAGCACGAGCTCTGTTATAATACCATAACAAATTTCAGAAACAAAGAATATAAGAATTTGTAGTAAGAGATGTTCAAGGTAAACCGGAGTGAATCATCTAGCTTTGTAACATTTCCTTGGAGAAAAGGCAGTGTGAGCTAAAATTACTGTATTATGTTTTCAGTTCATTCTGAAATCAAGTAAAGCATATTTATTTACCAAATGAAGTTAAACATCCACTGAACACTATGTTTGGTATGTCCCTGCAACCATTTCCCAAAAATTTTAAGTTATGTGAGAGCAGAGATTTTGGTTCTGAATTTACTGCTGAGCCCTCAGTTTATAGGATAGTATTTGGCATACAACAAATTCTCCCTAAGTATTTACTGAAAGAATGAATGAAATGCTGAGCACCATGGAAGGGACCAGGGACTTGGTACCCACCACTTCACTGGCCCTAATATCAACAAATAAATGAATATAGTGGAATCTCTTTAGAATACTTGTGCTGGAAAATAGGCCTAAACATATTTCTTGTAACTGTAACCATGTCAAGAATTTTCAGTGGTTAGTTGAGTTGAAACTTACACTTTGGCTTAGCAGCGGTTCTCAACCTGTGGGTCGCGACCCCT